GGGTAAGCTTGATAAAGCAAAACAGTGAAGACTGGGGAATGCATCAGATCTGAGTTTTCTCCAAATTTCAACACCTACCTCTAGCCTACAGAACAGTTATGCTCACTTTCCTCCTCCGAGATGATGTGAGTACATGTTCCCTTCCCAAGAGACTGCCTTGGTCACTTGCTCACGTCTATTAGTAGCACAGAAATGTGTGCTGCCCGCACATCTCCCTTTCTTCAGAGCTCTCCATCTCACCCCCACCCCAAGTATCTACTCCACGCATTGATCTTATACGTTGTGAGAGTTTCAGATATTCCTTCTGTTCTTTCTAAGTGAGCAGTTGTTCAGTATGAAGAAATGCAGTGGTCTACCTATTCTAAATGACACTTCTATAAAAACTCATAAAATTTTCCAGAGCTATATCTGTTACAAAAGAAACAAAACGAAACTCTAATTGTATCCATCCATTCAGATGATCTTAAGAATGTAGATGAGCTGAAATTTCAGTAAAGTCCACTTAAAAGATTAATATGGAGCATGAAGGAGTGCAAGAGTACTTTTCATTATATGATTCAATTGAAATAAGTAAAGGAAAGCTAACTGTATTTGGTGCCATAGGGTGCTTAAATTATTTTTTGACCAATCATTTGTAAAAGTTCTTTTTTAATTCTGTGAAGTGTGTCCACTACTTGATATCATGCTTCTCTTAAATGGAAGGGATGTTTCTGTAGCAGGGGATGATCTTTCGAGGTCCCTTCCAATCCCTGACATTCTGTGATTGTTCATCTACTCAGTAAAAGAGTCAATAACATCACAAAGAGTCAGGAAATGTAATTTTACATCTGTGTGCTACACAAAAGGTAGGAGATGAATTTATTCTTTGTTTCACGTTTCTCTTTCTGGCTGGAATAAATATTTATAAATATTTTCATTTTTAGAACTCGGTGTTTTACAGCTGGAGTTAAAACTACAGTAGAAGAGGTTTTTTGTGCACACAAAAAAAAACTGTTTCTACATTATTTCAATCATGCAAATTAACAGGTTTCTGTGGAAAAAAAAAGTGAGTTTATTGTAGTTGTATCTTGTAGATGTGCTTGTTTATCTGGATAAGATTTACATTTTGACTTATAGCTCACTTCTTACTCACAACTTTTGTATTATAACTCAAGTTGGATCCTTAGAGTTTTTGTAAGTCTTGTAACTGAATAATTTAATAGATACTTGGTTGACAAATAAAAATTTAGAGAGGCATGCATACTCACCAAGAATATTTTCCTTATTTACTTCTTTATATTATGTTAAAGATGAATCCATAACTAGATATGTCACTTGAGGTTTTCAGAGTCCAGAGAGAATATCATGGTTGTCACTCTTACATCATATTTCAGTAGACTTTTTCTTTGTACAGAATTGAGGAAAAAGTTAAGTAAAGAATGTAAAAAGAATTTCTTGTTTTAAGAACACATTATTTGGACTCTACTCATTCATTTTTAGGGAACTAATTGCCTAAATTGCTGAACGCTATTTTGCTATTGTTTCAGTGATATGATACTATTAGTTCAATATGTATATATATGTTTATATTTGTAATAGGATTTGAATTAAAACTGATCAGGAACATAAAATAACCATAAATGCAGAATGAAGTATAAGAGTTGGATGTCAATAGAAGCAGTATGAAATAATTTTTAATAAGACTTGAAACTTTTGCTGGGGATTGGTGTTCTTTTAATTTATGTTTGTTTGTAGTTTTTATTGTAATGGTTATATTTAGATCACCAGCTGGAGGTGTTTAGGATTTTAGAAAAGCAATTTGAAGACAACCACTGTTTATTTTTAAAGAATTGCATTACCATCTGTCACTTCTCGTTTTCAAAACTACCATCCGACTCTGTCAAATAGAGAAAGAAATGTTAACCTAAAGGTCTGCACCATCTGAAAACTTGGTTCACAGATGTATTCCACTTCTCTGGTAGTTTAACAAATGCTGTTTTGTCCCTGGGCTCCCTTTTGAGTGAAGAAAATGGTGTTTTCCCCCAGGGCAAGGTCCAGGTGTTGGTCTGGTGACAGTTCAATTCAGGTATCTTTCACACTGTGTGAGACTGATATGGTGACCAGCCTGTGGCAGGTTCTCTTTCCGTCTGACTGTCATGGATTCAACAGGCTTTTGGCTCATACATGTGTTTAACGAAGGAACTTGTGTCACACTCCAGGATGTGAAATGAAGTAAACCTTGAATTTTATGCTATATGTAGCTGCGATATGCATCACAGAACCACAGAATTGCAGGAATTGAAAAAGACCTTTTAAGATCATCAAAACCAACCCCCTGCTGAAGCAATTCCCAACAGCAGGTCTCACAGGTAGGCATTCAGATGGATCTTGAATAACCCCAGAGAAGGAGACTCCGCAGTCTTTCTGGTGCATTTTTGTGCTGTTCTCGTACGTTCTGTCATTGACCAGGGAAAATTCTGGGTGACCAGGGAAAAAAGACCAGCACCTCTGCGCTTTCTCCCCTCAGGAGGCCGTAGAGGCAAAGAAAATGCAAAGAAAGAGAAGTAATTACAGTCTCTTGGGACCACAGGCACCTAGAAGTCTGGACAAGGCTGGGATTGTGTTCTTTAAAGATTTCAGAAAACAGACTGAAGCCAGTCTGCACTTCATGAATATAAGACCAGAGTCTGTGCCCAGGGGAAGGTGCACTTTTCATTGCAGACATAGCTATATGTACATGCAGTGCTGGCTTGGATAAAAACCATTCCCATGTCTTAAAATTAAAGGACAAAATTTTCTTTTGGTGATAAGAGGAAGAGTTTCAGTAGTTTAAATTAACGTTATATATTTATAAACTTAATTTGTTCTGTGTCCGGAATCATAGGATCGTAGAATAGCTTAGGTCAGAAGAAACCTTAAAGATCACTGAATTCCAATCCCCCTACTGTGGGTTGGTTGCCAACCACTAAATCAGGTTCTTCCCAGTGCCCCATCCAACCTGGCCTTGAACTTCACGATATCTCTGGGCAACCTGTTCCAGTGCTTCATCACCCTCTGAGTAAAGAATTTTTCCCAACATCTAGCTTAAATTTCCCTTCTTTTAGTTTAAAGCCACTTGTCCTATCACTATTAGATCATGCAAAAATTTCATCCTACTCCTGCCTAAAAGCTCTTTTCAAATACTTGAAGTGTGCAATTGTGTTCCCCTTGGAGTCTTTTTTTCTCCAGACTGAACAAGCCCAACTCCCTTAAACTTTCCTCATAGAGGAAAAGCTCCCTGACCATCTTTGTGGTCCTCCTCTGGAACTGTTTGAACAGCTCCACATCCTTCCTGTGTTGGTGGCCTATGCCTGGATGTAGTATATAAATTTGTCTTAAGAGTTAGTCTAAATGAAAGTCTCCTCAGACTTTCTGTTGATTTAAATGCACTATATAATTCAAATGGGCTGGAGAATGGTCGAAACTCTCATTGAAGGTGTTCATATGATAATGACCTGCCCTATAGCCAGTCCTCAGTTAAGTAACTTGAACAATAGACTGGTAAGAAAATAGCTATACTGCCATCTGAAGATGCCCAGATGATAAACCAACCACAGCAACTTTAAAACAAGAATAGGACACAATACTGATTATTGAACAGGACACTACATGGATAAAGATAAAGGCACATTTCCATTACTTCCAGTCTCGCATTGCTGTTGTTAATAATTTCATTTCTGACAAGATTTCCATTGATTTCAGGATGAACATCAATATTGTATTCTCTCCCTGTGTTTAACTGAGATTATTTTACCATTCACCGCTGTGTCAGTAGCAGGAGATGAACAGCAGCACAAGTTGTTTCATTACATGGATCTGTTTTAACAATGAATTTTCTAAATGAGTGCAGGCTTTACTCCTGTAAAATATCTAGTCAGATATTTACACTGGTCAGATTTACACTGATACGTGCTTTACAAATTTTGTTTAATTGCCCAGGTAAAAAGAGCTATATATTAAGGCTGTATATTTTCGCATTTGCTGCTCTGGAGTCAAACTAAAGCAACAGAAAGCAAACTTATTTTTACATTCAAGACTTAATCAAAATTAAGTGAGCTAGTAATAAGTGATTTTAGAATATTGTGAGCAAATTAGAATATGACTTTTCTAAAATCTACAAGATTTAAAGACTACGTTTCTATGCACTAGGGATCTATAGGAGAAACCTGCTTGCACTTAGGCTGAATTAAGACTGGTGTGGATCATGGATTTGTACAATACTTTAAGGCCCTTCATGGAAATGAGCAAGATTGAATGGAACAGCTGAACTGATAGCTGAAGGTGGCAATCCTGCCAGCTTCAAATAGACATTCATTGTGGCTGGGTGACGGATTTAGAAGGCAATGCTCTAGAACTCTCACCTAATTGACCAAAGTAGCTGGGATTAGTGTATGTTTGTAGTTAAATGTGGAATCATCTGTGATGAAGCCTAGATGCTAGTGCAAACTCTCAGCCACAGAAATAAGCTCTCTGGTTTTGCTAGGAAAATGGTCGTAAAACAAATGTTTCTCCCCTGAGCAATGACTGCTGTGAAGAGAGATGGTTTTCACAGCAGTTCTACATACAGAGGTCAGCTGAGGAAGTGGAAAAAAGAAAGCGTTATAAAAAAAAATCAGTATTTGGGAGCGTGCAAGAGAAGCATCACATGAAAAGTTAGTTTTTGAGCAGGAGCTGAAGACAATATGACTTTGGTGTAAAACACACTCCCTATCTCCAAGGATATAATTAAGAAGTTATACGACAAAACTGAAGGAGTTTAAAATACAGACGGAGATCCAATTTGAGAATAATTGCCATCCCTGTGGAGGGTATGTAAGGCAATATGATTTGCTTTACAGTTGAGTTCTTACAAGGCTTTTTTTGAGCAGAAATATCACCTAACCTTATTGGGGCAGGGAGCAACACATGTCTTTCCCATACTCACACCCAAAAAGCACTGGTAAATAGCTCTGGAATTATTTTTATTAGGGTTGAGTCTTCACCGAAGACTCCAGGAACCTTAGGGAAGAAGAAGAAAATATCCCCAGATTCACCATTCTAAATGTGATGTTCCCTGAAGCAGTCTGAAAGAGTCAAGGTTTGGAAGCTGGTAAAATGAAGGTATGAAGAGTTTACTTCTCAAGTATCTAGAAGTTAAATGATAAATTTATGTGAATGATAATTATTGTGAAGACTTCGAACTATGCGGTGTATAATTCTGCCAAGAGGGAAAAGATGAAATAAGTTAAGAATTGCTTTTTTTTTTTTTTTCATTTTGTTGTGAGAAAAAAATAACTGACATATCAAATACCACAAAACTCAATGAATAAATATGGGATCTGACTGAAAGCTGAGAATCGTGTTCTGAAAACGTAAGAAACAAGGGAGGAATTGAACTGTATGGCTGAATGCTGAGAACAAATTAACGGGTTGACTTAGTCATGAAAAACTACTTTTTCATTTGTTTGAAGGGCTGGAATGATACTTTTGTGTATGCGTACATATAAATAAATAATTATACAGAAAGAACTTAAATAATAACTTTCTTCTTAAGTAGAAAAACTGATATTAATTTTGACTTAAAATGAAGTTCTAGCATAAACTATATGCTATGGAATTTATATTTTATTCAGAACAACTTTACTAAAAAAAAAAAAAGGAAGATCCTAACTGAAAAAACACAGATGTGTTAATTCAGGAGTGCATTATATTTAGCTATCTATACTGAATCATACCCTAAGATCAGGTTGTCTTCAGTGTGATTTGCATAGTTTAATTTTTATGTGCTGAGGTTATATTTGGTGTGAAGACATACAAGCAATTTCCTACTTAACCCTCCAGTCTTGTGTTCATTGGAATGGAATTTATAAAAATTGCTTATAGAGTAGTAGTGCTTCTTTTCCAGAGGCTTAAAAAAAAACCAGCCAACCTGAAAACAAAGCCTTCAGTGCTGTTTGACTTGTTTTTTTCTGTATATTTCTTCACACTGTGTTTTGTTTGTTTGCTTGTTTTTTAAGCTTTCAGGGATCTACCTTGCCATCAGCTCTGGTGGTCTATAATCTTGGTAGCTGTTGGCAGAAAGGTATTCATGCTATTATAAACATTTATAAAATAAGCATTCTCAATATAAAAACACCCATACAATGGGCAATTATAAAACAACCACTTTAACAACTTAAAAACTAACTTTTGATGTGGTTTAAGTGGCTTTCAGGGTATTAGGTAACTAGATTACTGTACACTAATGAGCCCTACAAGTTTTTGTAAGACAAATTTTACTTTAGGTGTGGTTGTGGCATTGCAAACCAATCAATACAACCCTACAGACTGCTAAGAATAACTGGTTTTCTTTACTCATTCCAGTCTAGTATTAAATGTGGAGGTTGGTGGCCCTGCCTGTGGCAGGGGTTTGGAGCTTCATGATCCTTGAGGTCCCTTCCAACCTGGGCCATTCCGTGATTCTGTGATTCTCATTAAACGATTACATACTTGCAACATTGATTTGTCTTTAGCTGAAGGAAGGGCTTAAAAAAAATTAAAAATTAAAATTAGAAGAAATGCACATTTTCACTACAGAGCTAACACATTTATATCTCTGGAATTCTGCATTTGATCAGATTCTACACTCCAGATATTCCACACATCACAGTTACTTTCGTTACAATGTTGTCTTTTTTTTTTTTTTTTTCCTTTAACTTTTCTTTTCCAATTAGTTTCAAGCCTAAAATACCATTAAAATCAGCTGTGTGGCATCCTTCTTCCTTTGCTCAGTTATGTCATTAGCACATTTTAGCACACGTTGAAAAGGATTGGCATCTGTTATGTAATACTTCCTCTTTTATTCTGCCAAGTGCCATAAAAATCAAATTTCTAAGAGCTCTGGGTTTAGGAGTTCTCTACACTGTGGTGATATTTCTATAACTGTAACAGTGTTGTAATACTATGGTAGCTATGATAACAACGATAAGCTTTTGCAGTAGGGAGACCAATACCTCATTATTTTTTGATGTAGATAGGGATATCCATTTACTCCACTGCTGACTGCTTATTGTAGTTGATGAACTTCACAAATTCCAATCTTTCTGGTGAATTTGGTTTTTAATTCCTATTTTACCAGTGTTCATATTTTAATAAAATCTGAAAAAAAATCTTTACTGTTTATGTCTTCACAAATTCGTTTGTCAGGTTAGGCATCTCTGTAAGCATATCCCAGGTTTTAAGCAGTAACTTTCATCTTGATTAATGCATTTGCTTAAACAACAATTCTGTACATTTTTTAATTAAAAAAATAAAATGAAATTCACGTCATGTATCTGATGACATCCAGAAGTGTGTTCTCTAAGTGGACCACACACATTGGCATACATAGCAGAAGTTGAGATTCTTCATCTTTTCCAACAAGAAAATTTTCCTACGTATGTTTTTTTTCCACTGTCAAGGTAATACTTCTTTCTCATCCAGTGTTCTCTGGGAAGTCAATTTTATCTGTTTTGTCAGGTATTACATCAGTCAATTATAAAAGTTACAATGATTTTATACATGAGGAAGAAGGACGTTAACGTTCTTCTTCCTGACAAATCTTCTGCAGGGCAGGAGGGCATATATGAAATCTTACTGTGCCTTGCTGCTGCTGGCATGTTTTACAGAAAAGTGTGAATGCAGTGTTTCTTTTAGACAGCAAAAATGTAGCTTTTCAATTCCTTTTACATATATATATATATATATATAAGGATTTTATAGCCTTGTACTATAAACCAATTATGCTTCATATCAAATAAATACGGAGGTTTTTTTTCTGTCGAGAACAAAATGGAGAAAGTAATCAGAAATGAAAAGAGCCTTTAGCAAAGATATACATAACTTGTTTACATTCACTGTTAGCACTTTCATCAGTGCTCTAAAAGTTCTTTAGTTAACATAGGTCCTTTCCTGGAGTTTATCACATCATTTGCCAGTGGCTGACATCTTACAAAGGCATTCTCTGTATCTAAACACATCTCTGAAAAATCAAGAAACCCTTGCCAATTATTTTTTTTCAGCCAATTCTGAGGACCAAATTGCAATCTGAAAGCTCTCAGCATATTTTAGCTAATTTTAAATTAGGAATGTGAATCTTTTCCTAAGCTGAACTTAAATGGCCATTTGCAATTATGGATGCTGACTGCTAAATGGAAACACGTTTCAATGCAAAAAATCCTTCTTATCACATTCAGACTTCCTGAAACTCAATTACGTTTTATTTGACTTCCATTTTAAACCACTTTTATTCTCTGTCTCTTTACATGTACAGTTTTTATTGTTGTTGTTATTTTAATCTGTTATGCTACTTTTCATTATGCTAATTCCCATTTTCATTGCTGTGCTCACAAAATAATTATAATTTTAATCAAATGATTGTAATCTTTATATTAACCAAAATATCATGAATTTATTTCCCTGTTTTTACAGGAGAGGCAGTGGAAGGGACAACACTGCAGACTTTTCTGACACCGGACAACTGCACCACCAGAGCTGTGCCAGAGCAGGCAAAGAACAAGAGGTTATGTAGGTGAGGAAATCTTCATGTATCTAGGAGAGATACTGCCATTTGAACCTCAACATTGACAAAATTATGTTTGACTAGAAGATTACAGAATGGAAAGCTAATATTATTTCTAGGTAAACTGCTGCAACTGCAGCAAAATCGTGCTGTTGTCTATGGGGTTTCAGTTACAAGATAGGTTTTCTACATCAGAAAGCAGGTGCTTCATTAATATTTATGATGCCAAATTTTTAAAGACAGGCAACTGAGTGTCAAAGAAAACTTTGGCACATGTTTGTACAGCTGTATTCTGTCTCTATGTTCGTGTCACACTTTGATGGTGCCTTCTGCCAAGTAGGGCTAGAAGTGGCACACTGGCATGGTCTCTTATTCAGTGTAACTGAAGAACAGAGTAGTGAGACCTTCTGCTCCTCCTCAAATCTGCAAAAAAAAGCCCTTTCAGTCTTACTGAATAAGTAAATATATAAGTAAGAATAAGTAGCCTCTTATTGCTGAGCTTGTTTAAATCAGCCAGCTGAGAATCCAAGCTCTGATCCCATCATAACTTGAAACATAGAGTTTCTGTGATTTTATTTTATTTCTATTATTTTAAAACACATGCAAATGAATTGCAGTCACAGAGCAGTTTCTCCTTGGACTCTAAGAGTGAAAACGTGCACATGTGAGAGAACGAGAACATGTACTCACGGGCATTCAAATTATAACCAGGAAAAAAGAACGATAAACCACAGATCCAGCTCAACAGTATATACATAGAGCTGCCAACAGCCAAGTATATTCATTAAAGGTGGTTGGGAATATACACAGTACAGAAATCATAGCACTAGCAAAAAGAGGAATTTCTACTTATTTATTTATTAACTTACAGAAATAACCACTGTAATAGAAAAAGGGATACCAATTAAGTTCCAGAATCTTTATGCGTCTAAGAAGGTGCCAGAATCATCCAGCTGTCCCAGTCTTCTGAAATAAATTATTCCAGATCTTTTACCATATAGAAAAATAAGGATTTTCATTTTTATTGCAGGTTTCTTTGAGGCATCTCTTCAAGGGTCAGTTTTGAATGACATTCTGCAAGTACACAGTATCAAGGCCCTTTTTTGGCTGGTAAATATATCACACTTGGATTCCTTTTCACATGGCCCTTGCTGATATTTTCTCTCTTTTGTATCTTATATGTCTGACCAGAAAATTATAAATTATTTCTAATTTATAGCTTCATTTAACAGCAGTTCATGGTTTAATGTGCTGGAATGTAATATGGGATGATTGGTTGAGGTCTAGCACAAAAAGAATTTGTTGGACTTTTCCCAGGGAAGTGGGACATCTGTTGGAGTAACCTGTCAGTGGACATCTCAAGTGGCCAGCTAACCTGCTGTGGAACGGATCATCCTGCAGAGGGGGAATCATCAGCTTACAAATGAAAGTCACCCAAGATGACATCCCAAGTACTACTGGCAGACATCATACATGCTGAAATCAAAGATGAAACTGTCAAACAGTAGGAGTGGGTGGGCTGGTTTATATCTTTCAGGTAAGGACTTGGATGTTTATTCTGGTTGCAGTTTGCAATATTTTTTGTTGCAGAGCCTGCCAGATTCTGACAAAAATCTTTGTCAAGTTTAGTCGTAGTTCATAAGACAGTAAATAGAAATCCTGTCTATGATTAAAGACTGACAGGATCTAACAGTCAACAGCCTAAATAAAGGGAAAGACTGTCAAGGGTCAGTGGGAGGGGATTGCGGGGAGTGGGGGGCTGAAAAAAAAAGCATTTGGATATCTTAGCCAGGATGAGAATGAAGTGTCACTTTTCCGGGAGCTAAGGACATTCACTATCTGTAGGACAGGATGCCAGAGCTTTGTGGTAAGACAGAACAGTAGTTGCTGAGAGAAATCTCTGATCTTAGCTCGTTGTCCCTATTGCTCAAGCAGTAAAAAAACCCTCATATAAGCAGGAATTTTTACAGCCATGTGAAGGAGTGCTTTAATAACAAAAATTTCCATGACTTTTTTTTTTTTTTTTCTTTCAGGTTACATAAAATAAAAAACAATATCAGCTAGTAAGGAAACAACTCCAGAAATAGAGGGAGAAGACACCAGATTCCTGAACGTAGTACATGCCAAAGGTGTGCTATTCTTTGGTAACATTTAATGTTGGGTGTCCCGAGATAGATCTCATAGGCGATTGGTTCTGAAGACTACAGATAATTCGTGTGGGAACGTGATAAAATATGAGAGTAGAAATATTGCTCTAACAATTCAGGACTGACAGATAATCTTAGAACAAGTGGGGCAGTTTTTATCATGGCAGAAATAAATCTGTGTACCCAGAGACAAGGCATAAAACCCGATGGTAATAAATACAGTAGAGAAATGAACTTACTGTATGAAAGAAGTGGAGGATAAGAACAGAAATAGAATGTAGGCTTGCAAGTTTGTAGAGAAGGGCAGAAGTTTCCATGGGAAAGAGAAAAAAGGAAAAAGACAAAAATCTTCAGAGGTAAATACTGAGAAATAAATCGGTTGCTCCTTCAGTCCACAGTCTCCATCTACTTCTAGTTGATTCTGCTCCTTTTACAGCTGTCTTCTTGAATAGTAGCAGCTGCTAACAGGGCTTAGATATAATTTGTCCCATTTTCTCATTTCTTATAGAAGTTTGGCCTTCATTAGAAATCATGACAAAGATGACAAAAGAGAATGCTAGAAATGCACAGGATTGCCATCTGGATTTGGGTCTGTGCAAGAAGCGAGTTAAGAGAAGAAATGACAGGATTGTCAATAAAGTAAATGCAGGAAATAAATTGTCAGGAACAGGTGGAAACTGTGGGGTTTGGGTAATGAAAGTAATATTGCTAAAACATGAAATGTAATATATTTGTTTGATATTTCAGATGCTGCAGGAAGAGACAGCAACATCATATTAAAGAAAACGCTCTCAGAAGCTTTCAGTGGAAGTCGCCGCAGAGAGTGGAAAAAAGAAAAGAGAAAGAAAAACCGAAGTATATAAGCTCACTCAAGGTATCTTGTGGTACCAGTAGTGTTTTGTAGAATATTTGACTAGTGGGATGCATATGCGGAATGGGAGATTTGGACTTTATCTGGACGGTGTGTTGAAGCATGGAAATACTTGTTCTAAGTCAATGTAAGCATAAATGACATGAAAAAGTTTAAGAAATGAGGAATGTCTTTTAAAAAGAAGTCAGCATATCCAAAAAGGATATATCAGTATATCCAGAAAGGATATAACTGATCACAATATAAAATAGCCATCCCTTCCCCCACTTACAAAAAAATAATGAAAAGATAAAAATGTGGTGACATAAAATTCCACTGACTCAAATAGCCATGCTCAGATGGTGGTAACAAAACCCAATTGTAGATACCACTTAATGAGTGAGGAAGTTCAGCCTGTAGGGTTTCTTGGGATTGTTGGTTTGTTTTTTTTTTGAAGTTTTTGTTTTGTTTTGTTTTGTTTTGAGCATTTTGGTTTTCCCATAGGAATTGCTAATGACAAGAACCTGACTGCAAGTTCCTGCTTTCTAGAGACTGGAAATATTCTAGACTTCCAAGTTTGCAGTGAGGTTTTCCTAAAACTCCACTAATTCAAGGAAACTCCAAGAGCAGCAGTGACCTTTAGTCTAGAAACTGAGATGGGAGAGATCTAGGTAATCTCCTCATGGCTCTTGCCGTGAGCTTCCCTGTTTTGTTTGCCAAATAATAACACAAATTTTAACTCTCTCTCTTTTTCTTTTTCCATGGAAAAATAGCCATTTTTCTACTGGCTAATCATAAGATGGTTCTGAAAGGGAAGTTAGCTCTACTTCTCTTTTGAAATTGGGTTATTGCAAAAAGACAAATGGCAAGATTCTCAAAAGCAGAAAAAGAATATGACTGATTCTGTAGCCAGGTGTCTAAAGATGAAAACCACATTCTAGCCTATTACAATTTTGCAGCTCATCTAATTGTCCTTGATTAAACCTGCATTTGTTTTTCACATTGAAAATGTGTATTTTAGCAGGCTTACATCTAAGAAAGTTGTGATTTTAAACTAACGAACAGCATTACAGTTCAGTCTTCACTGTTATAGCCCATGGTGTAAATCTGCACTAAGAGCTTGGCCAATCTGTTATACACAGGGCAGTTGGACTTTGTTGGCTTTTTATTCAACTGTAGCTTTGCCCCAAGCACAGAACTGTTACATTGCTGCCCCAGACTGTAATATGAAAGATTAAAAATCTACAATCTGCCTCCTTGCTGCACCCTACTCTAAATAATTACCAGGCCAATAGCTCAGGCTGTTTTCACCCCATACATATGGACTAGAGCCAAGAGCCTGTTCCTGTCACTTTGCTTATCTCACTGTACTGCTCTTTCCACAGTTGGAAAAGAAAGAAGAGTGAACTATTGTTTCTCTCCATATAATCTGACTCACAGCCAAATTAAGCTGCATTTTAATCAATTTCTTAATGATGTTTGAAAAAATTCACTATGAAATGCAAATAAATTGTTAGTATTTTTAATGTTTCCAAAGAGAACACTTTGAAAGCTCTTAATATTTTGGTGACATTAAGTAAGAACATCACGGAAGACCATCTGCTGTTAGGACCTAGAATCCAGGTATGAAATCTTGAATGTTATTTTGCTTGTGCCCCAGGCTTCTTTGCTCTTGGCAAGCCACTTGTTCTGTTGTTTAGGAAGATTATCAGCAGATTTTTTTTCCTTTCTATAACACAGTGGCTTTTTCTGGTATTAATCACCTGATCAAATATTGAACTCCACTGATATGGCCTGGAGATATTTGGCTTTACTGCCTTAGATTTTAGAGAGAAGCTAGTCTTTCTCCCCTTAAGTTTTCCTCAAATACAGGAATTTCTGTTTAAATCAAACAGAAAATTGCATTTGGGTGCTCTGCAGCGAGGCTAAAGTCACTTTGTTCACAGAGTGCGTATGTAAATGGAGATATTTTAGCATTCATCTCATCCTTCACGGTAGGTATATCACTCAAAGTAAGCCTACGGTTACATGTAAACTACTAATCCCCCAGGAAATATTCTCTCTTTTTTGCAGAAGTCAGTACTGCCTCAATTTAAGATGTTCCATATTTTTAATCAATAACAAAACAAAATAAAGGCAATTTGTTTATGTTTGACGCTTCGAGTTAAAAGTTTTTTATACTTGTGCACAGATTGCCTCAGAAAGTAAAAATAAAAATAAGGCTATCACTTCAAAGGAAAGTCAGCTTTAAAACGTGTTTAAAGTTACAAATGGCAAATGTATGAATAAACTGTTGACTTTATGAAAGAATTAGTTTCTGAAGTTCTTCAGGTCTTCGAGGTTTCTCTGCAATTCTATCATTCTCTTTGGTATCTTTTCAGAAAGTAATTAAATATGTCTCTATTCAGGCAAGCTCCATAAGCCCATGCCTGACACACTGAGATGTGCTTTGCAATGGGGGATTAATGCTGAGTGACGTGTTCCTATATCTTACACACAGCTGTTATATTTCATTGTCAGATTTTTCAGACATAAACCCATCATTTAGCAATCTCTTGGTTATTGCTCCTTGTGGGTGTCTCTCAGTTTGAGTTTCTAAGCACAAAACCCTGCTTTCCTTTTAGCCCATTTTTAGGACTGCTGTCCCACATCGATACGTATGTAAACACAGCCCTAGGATCCAGATGGTCAGAATGCATGCAATATCTGTACTTTCACTGTGCAAGTGTGAATGTGGCAGAGGTTTTGTAGTGTCTAGATTAAAATGGAGCTTATTTCTTCATTCAGTTCACGATACCAAAATCTAAAGATGATGATAAATAAATAAATAAATAAATAGAACACCAAGTTAATACAGATTGCTTCCAATTTAAAATGAATGGTTATGGTAAAAATGCTCAGTGTGAAAGTATTTTTCTTAAGAGCTCGTTATTTCCAGCAGCAGTTTTTGCTTTTCCTATACGAATATATGAAGGCAATTATGAAATGTACGTATCTATTTATATACCCACTAATGTGTTATTGAAAATACTGTGAGGAGGCTTTCCTGTCACTGGATGTCTATTCTTTTTTTTTCTAATTGTAATGTGCGCAATATATTGCAGATAACTCCATTTTGTTCTTCTTTCTGAGCAGTTTGGAACATCAGCCTCTAACACTTCCCTGAATAGTACCGATCAGAGCGAAAATAGTTGCTGCATGTAATGGTTTCTACAACATCTAGTCCTGATGGAAGTGTTCCTGCTGACCTCGGGGAAACTCAGAAGGCCCTGTTTTTGGGGAGTTCAGTTGGTCACAAAGCTGATAGCACTGGGATTGTTGATCTGTCAACACAAAATGCCATCCTCCAGCCACGTACAGCAGTAAGTACATAAAATGAGTGCGTAGTCTGACTGAGGGGACCAAGATGTGCAATAACATCAAAAAGAATTTGAAACAGGACAAATGAGCCTGTCGTCTGAGAATGCAATCTGAAGGGAAAAAAAAAGCAAAAAACAACCAACAACCAGGAGGCCATATGCTGGGCAGCTATGAAAATCTGACATCGAATAGTTTTGGGATCTGGAATACCACCTTTAGTTCTTCCAGTTGCAGCACACAGGATGACAGATGGCTTTGTACATCTACCTCATGCTGCAGTGCTCAAGCTTGTAAGAGTGAAGAAATGGTACTTGTGTGGGCACAAGAATAGAGTGAAGGATACAGGATGCACATATGGACAAAATATTGCCTGGCATCACAGATGGGTCTAATACCCCAAGGGATTTTGTTAGGAGAGAGAGTGGATTGCTTGCAAGAGACTGCAAGTTGGAAGCCAAGGGTGACAACTGAGCTGGTAGAGCAGTTCCTTAACCCTCAGAGCGTAATTACACAGCATCCCCCCCCAAAAATAGAGCATAAGAAGGATGGAGCAGCCAGGTTTAGTTAACAGCCTAGTGATCACTGGTTAACAGTGATGAGGCACGTCCAAGGACAAGACAGCAATTAAAAAAGGCAAGGAAATACGACAAACACGGAACACCTGTATCATAGGTCAGGCAAGGGCCAAGGGTACATGCCTCGGAGTTATTGCAGCTCTCAAGTTAGAGCATGCATGGGTAGAGTACCCAGAAGAGATTTCCACATTTGTTCTCTACAGGTTTACTAATTTCATGGCACTCAAATCTAAGCTTACACAGCTGTACCATATCAAAGCAGACCATGAGCAGGGGCATCTTCCACTGGAAACAGAGGAAAAGATTGAAGAGGAGGATTACAGGAGGCGGCTATTGACTGGTTCGGGTAATTATGTCCTGTTATATTTAAGGCACTGATGGTTTTGGATTCCCCTTTGACGGTGTGGGGTTACTGGAATGTTATGTGTTTCTCAGTGAGCAGAATAGACAATGCTGTTTAAGGGAACTGTAACTTTGTTTGACTCCTTGCTTCTTGATTGTAGATGGTTAAAGGGGGTTCACTTTTCTCTGTGATGAAGACGTTTCCTGACTCAAGAAGCAGTGCATCTGTCAGCAGTGTGTAAGTGGTCCTTGAAGGGCTGCAGTGTAGATCTTTAAATGAACTGTACAAACTTAATCACAGGGGCATGGTACATCAGGAAGGAACAGTAGATTATACACAAGTTAACAGGGCCTACATGAGCTGTACTGAGACTGCAATAATCAGGGAAAAAATACCCTTCTGTTCATGAATGCATAAGGATGCAACAAGCAAATTCTTGAAGCTGTGAGTCTTTTCCAATTATATCACAAGCATGTGTAGTAACAACTTGGGCTTCAAGTCCACATTGAGGGACAGCTACAGGAAGAAGCAGAAATAGCTCCTGATTCTCTATCGGTGGGTAGTGTATGTGGTATCTTGACTTGATGTAGAGTTGATCTGACTGAACTAAGTATCCAAACAAATGTGTATCGCTTGCCCCTCATCCAGAAACAAAGAGTATGATGACATGTATCTTCAAGGATGAATGGGAAGCCCTTTAGGGAAAATCTTCAGATTTTTAACTTCGGAGTT